ATTCCCCCAGATTACTACCTGAGCCAGATGGAGTGGTAGCTTAACGGACTGCAACACCCAGGCATCCCTGGGGTATATTTTCTTAAGAAATGAAAAACTAAGAAGTAAGTACCACTTACATCGTTGGTGTATCAGTATAGGCCACAGCAGGAAAAATACCGTGATAAGCTTGTCTCTTTGATACCAAGAAGACATTCTAGTTCAAGCTTTAATACCTTCCTATGTTTTCGTTAGAGGAAGTGTTCACTTTTCTTCTGCTTTTCATTCTTTTCCATATTTCACACCAGAGGACTGGTGCAGCCTTTAAAACTTCATTAAGAGGAGCAAATTCAATATCCACTGATTTCTTCTCGAAAGGCATTTTAACTCATCAGATAGCCCTGCTGTTCCATTCTTGTGAATACTCTAGCCATGACAAAACTCAGTAGGACACAGACAAATCCAATAAAGAGAAGAAGAAATCTATTGAGTTTTGGAATGTTTGGTACATTCGATCTGTCCAGGATTATGCGCCCTAAGCCTCCCATTGTAGACAGGAAGCTGGATGTGAGTCTTTCCATAATATATTGTCCAAGCAAGCTACTGGTCTCTGATGTTCATGTTGATTGGTCATAGAGCCAACACTTGGAGGTTCAACAGTAACATCATCAGTGATTCTTCTGGTGATGAGGAAGTAAGAATAAACTATTTCCCATGATGGTCAAGCTAAAGGAAGCACTTAGATAGCTTTTGCTATTGGGTTGGACCTGTTTTAAGGACTGAACATATAATGACTCGTTATCCCACATTCTTATATTATTTGTAAAAGACAGTGTTCAATCCATCCACTGATCTATCACAATTTAATTGGATGTCTTTGACCCGTCTTCTGATAAAGAAGACATTTGGTGCTGAGGTGCATTTTAGAGGTTGAGGACCAGTGCTCCAGAGCAAGAGCTGTCTTTCTGATTCTGTGTCTTCTCTTCCTACAAATATCCCAGCCTGAGCTAAAGAGTGAGCTCAGTTCTTGGTCCTGGGGCAAGCTCTGACCAACTCATAAGGTCCTCTCTCTCTCTGACCCTAAAACCATAAACATTATCTTCTGAGTGGGAATGTGGCCTTCCTAGCTGAGAAGTCAGCCTCTGACAGGACAACGTTCCTGGAGGGTCAGTGTCCTTAACACTTTCTGAGCAAACGTGGATGTTCTCTGAGTCCGGTTTGGGGATAAGGTGGTAGTGTCAGGATGTATAGAAAGTATGATGAGTCAAGGGTAAGACTTTATGATGGTGTTCAGGTGATTTTTTTGAAATAATAGCTCCAAAAAAGGTTACACTTAATCTTATTTTCCACTTATTTCTTTAAAGAATCCAAGGATGTAAATTAATCTTTTCTGACAAAGATACCCCATCAGATTCAACAGTTTCTTTTTTTTAATGATTATTTATTTGACAGAGAGAGCGAGCACAAATAGGGAGAGCGGCAGACAGAGGGAGAGGGAAAAGCAGGCTCCCCACTGAGCAGGGAGCCCGATGCAGGGCTTGATCCCAGGACCCTGGGATCATGACCTGAGCTGAAGTGAGGGCAGCTGCTTAACCAACTGAGCCACCCAGGCACCCCAAGATGCAGTAGTTTCAGTTAGGGCTATTCCTTGGTTTCGTTTGTGGTAGGTAGTCCACTGTCATTTTCCAGGATCTTTCTTTTACTCTTTGCAGGAACAAACTGGTGCATTACATGGAGAGACAATCGTGCAGCCTTCGGGTCTGTTTGGTCCATCTGTCACTCTCCCTGGGAGGACGGCTTCATTTACTGCCCCGGCTGTGGATCAGGGAGTCAGTGTCAGGCCTTCTCTACTGGGAAAGCTCTTCCATCACATGCGGAGATGGCAACGTAGCAGTTTGCTGACTACCACATATAGCCTTCTAACCGCACACTTGGAGACACGAGAAATGTCTACCAGATGGATCCCTGGCCTTAGTGGATGCACTGTGAACCAGACCTGGGCCAAGACTACTGCTGCTTGGTCCCCATAGCCTCCGCTCTCACCGGGGGGCATGGAGACATATTGGGCCCTCCAGTATCAATGTCCACCTGGATCTTATGTACAACAGTCCTTGAAATGTAAGGGTATTTCTTTCTTGATTTTATGGTTACTGAGTGAATGGTCAGAAGTCCCTTTAGAAAAGGAATGGGGAAATTACTTTCTATATATTTGTGGAGGTGTTGCAGGTCTTACTTTCTCAGGACTTGGCTTCTCCTTTAGTCAGGGATTCTGGGTCTGAAAACTGGTTCAAGATCAGAAGCTGAGCAAGGTGTTGTGATTTTATTTGTAACTGGGGTTGCTGCCCTCAGTCCCCTGGTTATCTATTCTTGGTTTCTGCTGATTGTACAGACGATGATAACCTGTGCTGGCTGTTCATCTACTTTGCTTCCGGGGAAGCTGTGTTCTATGAATCATCTCCAACACTCTAGAGAGTTGACTACCCCCCCCGCCCCCGCCCCCAGATTCTGATGGATGAGTGCTGCCATCTCTGGCCTGAATCATTTCAGGATCCTATAGTCTGCATTGCTAACAGCAACACTAACTACTTCTATAGCAGAATCTCTCAACAGCCCAGGCCTTTCCAGGACACTCACCACACAACTTCTCACTGCACATTTGTTTTTTTTTTCAAACTCCTGCAACATCGTCATCAGTGGGTTTCCAGCATCATGTGGTAAATCCATTCCAGTGTGGACACTTCTCTCAGCTTTTGATCCCTCCTTTCTGTCATCAGGCACAACAGTCCTGGCATTTCTGCTACATTTATTGAGAGCCATTTCTTTTTCCAAGCAGGAGAATCCAAACAGTGTGTTGGGTTCTTGCCAGTGTATAAAATTTCTGCACATTGGGAAAATGCTCCCATATCAATGAACTCTCCTGTAGCTAACTTTGTGTTCCATGCCCCTTGATCCAGAACCCTTAGAATCTAGTTCTTTATGGGACAGATGTTGGGTAGGTGGCAGAGCCCATGATGTTTAGCAGAACTGAAGCTTCTGCGTTGTCCTCAAGCAAGAAGGACATGCTTACCCTTAATAAGGAGAACTCGGGGTCTTGGAAAATCTGGGGATTTAGATGTTCTAAGTCATCCAACCAGATGTCTCCACCCAGTGTCTCAAGGTTCTATTCTTTTCCAGTCAAGGACATGATCTGGGCATAGAAGATAATTTAGTTTGACAATTTAACCTTCTTTGGAGCTCTACTATTCCTACGATTAAATCTTGGACCTGAACCTTGGGTTTTTGTGCTCTTGGGTTGCAGGATATGAGAGGTTCTTTATCTCCTCTTATGGAGGCACTCTGGCTTCCACAGTTAGCCTTTATTTGGTCAATCACCCTCAGCCTTTAATCATCTCTCTCCAAAGCATCAATTTCTTCTAGTAACCATCTGAAAATTGCCTTAAAATAATATCGCCTTAAAAGTACCACCTCTCCCACATTTCTCAAGCACCTGATACATCACACCCACCAATACGTAACCTTTCACCAGTGTAACCACCTCATTCAGGCTTGGTGAAAGTTTTAAAAATTGCTATGGGGCACCTGGGTAGCTAAGTCAGTTAAGCATTGCGCTCTAGGTTTCGACTCAGGTCACGATCTCAGGGTTGTGAGATCGAGCTACGTGTCGGGCTCTGCACTGGGCACAGAGTCTGCTTAAGATTCTCTCTTTCCCTCCCTCTTCCTCTGCAACCCCCTCTCTCTCCCTCTTTAAAAACATTAAAAAATAAAAATTGCACTGCTACTCTGTACCCGTGGCTGTTTGTGCTCCAGCCATCCCTTCACTGCCAACCGGATGGTGGATAGCTCAGCTTCAAAACTCTAAAACCCTCATCCTAGCACTTTCTTTCTCAGATCGCTTCTGGTGCCAGCCACTGCAGGTTGGGTTACGTGTAAAGACTCAAAGATGGAGATTTGCATGCAAAGCTTACTGGAGCACTCCCTCAGGGTCAACAGAAAGGCATCTGACCCTCAAGGGTCTCTGCAGCTGGGATGGGCCCTTCAGAGCTGTTCCAAGTTGAGAAGTCAGGTTTTACCTTTTATAACCTCCATTGACCAGTAATTGGATACAGGCTGCCCCTGGAAAGGGGACATGACCTCGACCTGATCTCATTCCCAACAAGGGGTAACAATTGAGAACCACAGGTGACAGCCTCCCAAAGATCTGGGTGGATAATCCTTCCTATCCAAGGGGTTCAGGTAATCTGGGAAACACACCATCTGTGACAGTCACAGTGAGAAAGAAGAGAGGGGTGAGACAAGTTTGAGCACAGGATAGGGTATAAAAACCACCACAGTGATGCCAGACGCTGCAGAAAACATTTTATTGGAGACAGTGCAGGGCTGGTTCTGAAGCGGAGGGATCTAGGGTGGAGAGGGGAAAGCCCATCCTTCAAAGGATGCCTTGCCCAGGTGTCTTGACCTGAGGGCACTGGAGGTCAGACAGTGGGGAAGTTCCTGTAGGATCGAAATTGGAGGGAGGCTCTGGGTCCCACTATCATGGAGATGCCCCTCTTTCCATGCAAGGCAGTCTCCTGCTCCCACTCCACCTTCGGGTTCCTAAACCAGAATGACCAGTCAGCGTGCGTGTGGGAGGCTGGGTGTCATGGATGAACACTGATCTGGAAAGACTTGGAAACTGACAATACGTGTTTGTCCTAGGGGAGGGAAAGTGTTATGAGCTGGAACCTAGGCTGTACAGCTACCATCCCACTCTTATTTCTACACCTTCAGGGTGGAGAGAGAAGGGGGAACATTCTGTCTAGGAACATTCTTCTTCAGGATGTCATGGCAGACTGAGCCATCCTCACGGAAGGCTGATTTTCCTTGGATGGTTAGGAGTGATTAAATTTAGAACAGAGGTCTGAGGATTTAGGGTTTCCATTCTTTTGTTCTCCTCCCACATATATACTCTTGCAAGGAGAAACAGCAGTAGCCTTCTGAATATAATTCTACCTGGTAGAGAGTGGGAACTCTGGTGGCATTGAGTGATTTAGTCAAGTGGAGGCCATTTAGGAAGAGTGTAGTGAAATACGGAATTTTTTTAAAGGTCTTCGGATAAGAAGCAGGGTGTCTTCTCCCCCAAACTGGCCTTCCTATTTACTTTTGGACTGTTTCAGGTACTCCAGGATGTCTGACTTGACCGTGCTGATGGGAGTCCGGTGGAACCAGCGCATGACAGGGACTCCATCAGGCCCCACCAAGAACTTCTCAAAGTTCCAGCGGATGTCGTGGACCTTTACAGGATCCCAGGATATGTGTCTGAATGAGCCCAGAACCTCAGAGGGGTGAGGGCAGGAGAGCTGGAGCAGAGATGGAACAGACAGACAGCATCATTTCTGTTATTTTCACCCACAGGGAATCCGCTCCCTCCCATGCCTAGATATTCTGATTTCCTGTGATTCTTAACAAATCCTCTGGATCGCCACCATGCCAACTAGCAAGATGGTTGTAGATATAACAGCAAAAGTCTGTTCCCTCCTCCTGTTCCCCTGTGACCCCTGTGATCACAAAGCCACGCCACTGTGAGTAAGATACGTCACCTCTGTGGCTGTCAGTTTCCTTTTCTGCAAAACGAATGGTTTAGATTAGAATGCAGTTTCTCAGGTCTTAGGGCTCCTGGGCCAGTAGCATTCCAAAAATATTTTTGGGACAAACATGGAGGTCCAACATTTTGTTTTGTCAAATAATAAAACTTTTGAGAAAAAAAACATCACTTTATCATTTAAGTTAAAAAAAGATTATTGCAAGAATAAATTACATATAGGTCCTAATCTTAGAATAACCCTATGAGTCAGTTGATCTCCAGTAGGAACCCATCAAGGACTAGGGACTGTGTCTTATCCTTCTTTATATCCATCTTATTTAGCAAAATGCCTCATACTCAGCAAATGTACTTTCAGTGAATGAATGTCAATGAGCAAAAGAGGGTGGTCCTCGGAAACACAGCCACTCTACATAGCCCTCTCCATCATGAAAGCCAGAATCTCATAAATACTAACAAATTAAACCCGGATCTCTATGCTAACATGGAGACCTCTTGCCAAGAGTCCAGTGTCACTTCCAGGCATGAGCCTTGGGTCCATTTCCACCACACCAGCTCTCTGCTAGGAATGCCAGGGAAGAAGAGGTTTGGGTCAGTAATTCACTCACCTTCAAGAAGGTGAAGACCTTCTGTTCCTTCTCGCCGTTCACATCCCCTTTCTCAAAGAGCTGGAAATTGGGTACGTATCCTCTCCCTGGACGGACGTACCTGCAATGAGCCACAGCATTCCCAGGAAGCTCCAGAATGTAGAAGAGAAAGTTGTGGTGGGCCACCAGGATTAGGGGTCACAGGAGGGGCAGGAAGAAGGAAAGATGTGGAAAACAGGGCTGGGGAGGGAAAATAAGGCCATTTCTTGACTTTGGGCTCCCTGATTCGCGTCATGTTTCTCGTTCTGCTCCCTGCGCTGCTTCTGTCCCAGCCGCGTCTGTGTGCCTGCACCCCTGTGGTCCACCCAGATCTCACTCCCAGGGAGAAGGAGAGTCTCTGGACTCTGCCAGACTCACATCAGGGTCAGACAAAGCTGATGTCAGTTTGCAGGTGCCCCCAACGCACACCCACACTGGAGACCAAAGAAAGGTAGACAGGGGCCTCCTCTGGGGTTCCAAGCAGGCACTTACTTCAGCCCCAGAAGAATCTCTGAGTTCTCTCCTGGTTCCTGCTTTCCGAACTGGTTGCAGGGAAAGCCCAACACGACCAGGCCCAAGGGCTTCAGCTCCTCCTGAAGTGCATTCAGTTCTGTGGGTAGAGAAGGGACAACAAGGAGGCCCGACTAGAGACTCTGCCTTGGGAGAGAACAATCTGTACTCCTTTTCAGGGAAAGAGAGGACTAGGGAAGGAAAAATCTCTAGATTGGAAAGACTCTTAGTGGCAGGGCTGAAGTTAGATGCTGGAGCTCCAGACATGCATTCAAAAGCCCTTTATTATAGGGTAATATTTCCCAAATCTGTGGCACATCCAAATCAGCTGAGGGCCCTTCCTTAAAAATAGGGATGACCACATCCCATCCCAGATAATTCTCTGATTCCCTTCTTATGAGACCCCAGTCATCTTTATTATTCAAAACCTCACCAGGTTCCTGTTGATTGTAAAAGTTGCAGCTGCTTATGGAAAGTGTATGGAGGTGTTATTAATGGGTTCAGTTTCAGGTTGACAAGATGAAAGTGTTCTAGAGATTTGTCTCATAAGAATGTGAATACACTTGGGTGCCTGGGTGGCTCAGTTGGTTAAGCAACTGCCTTCGGCTCAGGTCATGATCCTGGAGTTCTGGGATCGAGTCCCACATCGGGCTCCCTGCTTGGCGGGGAGTCTGCTTCTCCCTCTGACCCTCTTCCCTCTCGTGCTCTCTATCTCTCATTCTCTCTCTCTCAAATAAATAAATAAAAAATCTTAAAA